AGGCACTATATAAAAAAATAAATAATATCAGAGCTGGGCACCGTGGCTTACACCTGTAATCCTAGCTACTCAGGAGGCTGAGATCTGAGGATCCTGGTTTGAAGCCAGCCTGAGGCAGGAAAGTCTGTGAGATTCTTATCTCCAATAAACTAAAGAAAAATCATGTGGTGCTGTGCCTCAAGTGCTCAAGTGGTAGAGTGCTAGACTTGAGCAAAAGACCTAAGAGGAAGTTCCCTTGGAAGCTACTTTAGATGAAGTGGATATACACCCCTGCCGGAACAATGATATCTGTAAATAATATCAGTGATACAAAATGGGAAGATGATTCTGTCCCAGGTATAAGGAACCACAGGGCCCAGGCCCCAAGACAGGAATAGAAGACTGAGATATAGTGGGTGCCAGAGGAAGTCATGAGATGTGTGAGAGGCTTATAGGGACACATCATGAAGCCAGGTAGGAATCCCAACATACTTAATCTCACTGGCTCTTTTCTTGGCCAGGGCCACTGTCCTGTGTATGACAGAGCAGAAATCATTCTTAGACCATGAATGTTAGTGTTGGCTCAGGCAAGCAGAGCTAAATGCACAGTAAGTGCCTCCTCCCCTGAAACAAACCACCACACCATTCAAATGGAAGCCCGCCAGTGCAATGGGCCCTGTGGGGCTCAGTGTCATGGTGGGTTCCCAGCTGAAGCAGCTGACAGGAGGATTTGTTCTCCCGAGGAGTCTCACTAAGCCAGCTGGCTTCTTTGTTCTAAATCTTTTGGGATTATAAATCTGATCCTCACAACTCATCTTCAAAGCCCTTCCCACAATGTTCACAGCAGTCTTCAGTGTTGCTTTTTTTCAAGTCTGTGACTATTAGCCAGTGATGGATTATACCCCTTGACCTCAGGTTATAGTTCCTTCAAGTCAAAGCACGTGATAAAAAGCACTGCTTAAAAACTTTATAGTGAGATTTTTCTCTCTGATGTCCTTCAAGTCACACTCTTACCCAGCCATGATACACAGCACATCGTTTCCAGCTGGTAGTACAAACTGTTCAGCAAGCCAGACTGGCCTTTTCCATTCTCATTGCACAGAAACTCTGGACAACGGCAAAGGCAGATTATCAGAGACATGGTAAGGGAATGATGCAGTCAAAGAGACACCGGCTCACACAAACCAAATGTGTCTTTTATGGCTTGCTCTGGCCCCCTCTACCAGCTAATAGAGTGATGGTAGAAATGGGCAGCTGTAGAAGGCAGATCAGACAGTGCACTTGGTATCCTCATCTCCAACACCCCCAGGAGAAAACTGGAATTGTTTCTCAAAAGAACAGTGCCCTTCCTGCAGCAGGTGTTGTTCCAGAATCTTTTGTTTCCATTGTGATTCTCTTAGGGATCTTCCCCTTGCTTTATGAAGTGCTGGACAGCAATGCTACCTAAACTCAAGCTGGGCCACCTGGCTAGCCTGATTTTCATCTGCCACCTTTTCAGGTCATGTGCATGCTTTATGCTTGCTCAGGAATCCCAGACAATAAGAGGTACAGTGCCTTTCTTAGTGCTAGAAAGAGGTATAGCAGTTTGTTCTAAACGAGTGTAGGGCTCAATGTGCCCTACACTCCATAGGAATTTAATCAGGAGTTGAGTGCCTATGTTTCTATGAGACATAGATTGCAAACTCTGGCACAACTGCATCTGGCATTTCTGCTCTGCATTAGTGAACAATGTGATATGTCATGGTTTGGTGAGAGACATTAAATGTCCTCATGTAACAAATCTTGGGACAGATTTTTAAAAAGCCAGTTTTGTCCCTGTCAGGTAAAAGTAAACAACTGCTGGACTCTACAAACCAAAATGGGTAAAAAAAAAAAAAAAAGTGGTTAGACTGAAAGTTACATATCAAATGCCAGAGGCTCCATCAATTCACTCCAGTTCAGAAATAGCAGCTCAAGATTAAGTTTTACTGTAGATTTATTGTCATTCTCTAAGACACACCAATCTTTCCCACAGAAATTACAACATTTGTATCTTTATACTTCTTGATGATTGCACAAATCTCTGTAATTACTCTAAAGGTCTATTGCCTTTTCACGTATATAGTAAGTAGGCCATTCTGTTACTATAATGGAAAACTCAACATTGGGGAACATAATAAACAACAAAGGTTTTGTTGTAAGGTCAAGGGCAGCATCAAGTCATCATGGCCTTCTTGCTGGTAGTGTCCTGAGGCAACAATGTGACAGGAAGCTTGTATGTGTCTTGGTTGTTTCCTTCTTTTAAGAGCCACCAGGATTCATTCATATTGGCTTTACCTGGAAGATCTTATCCTACTCACACCCCCAAGGCCAGCCCTAAAGATGGTCAGATTGTGTCTACCCTCTTCACACTCCATGACAGGGATCAAGTTTCAACACATGAATCCTTGAAGGACATACTCACACCATATGCAAGTCACAGAAGAGAAGGTTCCTCTGACTCACCACAGAACACTTACAACTCAGGACAGGGTGTCCGTTTTCATATTTTGTAACTGGTATGCTTCCCATCTGCACTTAGGAACCATGGAAGAAAACTGAGACAGCAGTACAGTGTCCCAGGGGCTGACAGTGAAATTCCAGGAATCACCTGGAATCGTCATTCTATTCTCAACTTCTCTCCAAATTAATGCTAACTTGGAGCAAGTATTCATGGATCTCTGAAAACCTGGGCTAGTTCTTTTTCACATACCTATCATTTGAGAAAGTAGATGGGTAGAAGAGTTGCAGATAGTACATAATATCTATTAGATTAACAGTCCTTGAGGCAGGGGCCAAGAACTTCTAATTATTCATAAATTTCCTCTGCCAGTCTATTTCTAGTGTCATCAGAAAACAGGGCTCTTGACTCTGAGAGAGGAGTTAGCATCGTGGCAGATTAATGGAGTATGGGAAATCTCAATCCAGCATAGGCCACCAGCTTTTAGTGTTTGAACCTAGGCTACATAAATCAATCAGCATCCAGCTGCATACTGAACAGAATCTCCTGAGGGCATCCAATTTAATCTAACCAGCTAAGCAAGCGATAATCAGTGTTAAGGCTGTGGGCAAACTATTGTTTCTATTGACTGAGTTAAGAGTTTCAGGACTTGTTTTGGTATGTGGTTTTCTTTAGCTCAGTGGTTTACAACTTTGGCTGCAAACAGAACTACGGGATAGGTGGTCAAAATGTAGCTATGCCTGGATTCCTCTCCTACCTATGTGGTTTGATTGGTTAAGCCTCTGGATTAAAGAAAAAAAAATCTCAAGTGACTCTAATGTGTAGCTAACCAAGGTTGAGGACCATTGTTCTAGTTTCTTCTAGACAATACTATAACAATAACGAGGACCCCACCCTATTCCTTAACTTTCATATAAGAAACCAGAGGAGGTTGGCCAAGCCTTAGAATTCCCCTAAATTTCAATCACTGCCTTGAGTTGAGATTTAGGAATCAAGGTTCATTAAGTTACCCAGTGCCCTGGAAACAACTATCTGACTCATAAATAAGAAGTCTGCCTTATTCGTGGACAAGTTTATGTGAGGTCAGTAAATATATAAATTCAAAAGTCAAAAGAAATTTTAAAAGAATTTTGAGCCAGGGATAGTGGCTCATGCCTGAAGTCTCAGAAACTCAGGAACTGGCAATTGGGAGGACTAACATTCAAACCAGCTGGGTTTAAAAGTATATGGCTTCATCTCAACAACCCCCCACCCCCCAAAAAAATCCTAGCTAGGTATGATGACATACCCCTTCATCACAAGTATTTGGAGGATTGCAGCCTGACAAGCAAAGGTGAGACCCTATCTCAAAGCAAGCCAGGCACCAGTGGCTCACAACTATAATCTTAGTTACCAAGATGCTGAGGACTGAGGATGACAGTTTGAAGCCAGCCCACACAGGAAAAGTCCATGAAACTCTTCTCCCATTAACCAACAAAAAGCTGGAAGTAGAGCTGTGGTTCAAGTGGTAGAGTGCTAGCCTTGACTAAAAAAAACTCAGAGACAGTGACCAGGTTCTGAGTTCAAGACCCAGGACTGCTACACACACACACACACATACACACACGACTCAGAATGCCTGTCTAGACAGTACAACATCCTGAGTTTAAACCCTAGTACCACAAAAAAAGAAAAAAGAGAGAGAAAGAAAATTTCAGTTCCCAAATATGCATTATGGTCAAGTTGATACAGAAGCTCTCATTCAATCTTGAGGTATTAGAAGTTATGTTTAAATCACTGTGCGATCTACTGTTGTCCTGCTCTTAGTTTTGTTAAAAAACTGCATCCCCAAAAAACAAATGGTACCCAAAAAGCAAGGAAGGGAAAAGTCAATGTGCTTAATTTAAGTGATAAGTGAACATTTGAGGTTTGTTTCTCCTCAATGGTGGTCTTTTGAAACCACAAACCCTTGGATACCGAGGGTCTGCTATGATCTCTGCGTTTCACTGTCACCTTGTTCTGTACTGGCTGCTGGCCAGCCTCCAAGGACTTTAGCTTTGGAGGCTCAAGGACTTTGCTGACTGAAGCAGTAGCACAAGGAGCTCTGAGCATGTCAACTACTAACTTTTTATCTGTACACACAGTGACACACACTGCCTTTCATTCTACCCATGCACAAACAATTTTCTACCTAGACACAACAATTTTCCTGAGGGTCTTTTGCCTAAAAACCCATTTTCTGGTAAAAACTTGGAAAGAATTCTTTGTTGTTGTTTGGAAAGAGGAAATCTTTTTAATCTTATTAACTACAATAATGCCTCTCAGCCATTGTTTCTCTCTATTCCAATTTCAAATTCCCAGGAGAAACACTCAGCTTGGATTCAGGTCTTCCCTTATGGTGATGAGGGAGGATCACGATGCACAACCCTAACCACTAGGGCTGGGTGCAAGAACAGGGGAGCTCTACAGCAGACAGCCACCCTACTTCAAGTAGCCATGTCTGTGCGCTTCTATTTTGCAGCTGGTGAATGACAAAATTAGGGGCAAAAGGCACAACAAACACTGCTTGGTCAAACCATTTTAATGGTAAGCAATAAAAGTATGTTACATGAAAAGGCCTGTATTTTACACATGGAAGGTTGTTTTCATTGTCTTTATTTATGAGGTGTGGAAGGTGGAACCCATTCATGGATCTTCTTTTTAGTGGTGGAGTAAGGAACGTACTCTTCTGGAGTGCCGCTCACGTTGAACTGGTGGTTTGTCCAAATGAATTTACGAGCAGTGGGTGGTTTTGTTGTTGGAGGGTCATCAGTCATGCAGTGGAGCCAACGATGCCTTAAAGAGGGGAGAAAGCCCAGTTATGGAGAGGCAGGACAGCACAGCAGAGGGGGTGGACCGGCTACTGCAGCTACTCTGTTGCTGGGGTTCAAATCTCATCGCCGTCACTCCCTAAACGTTCTATGCTTTAGCGTTTTCAATTATCTGTGTTTTGTAGAGATGTTATGAAGATCAAATGAGATAATATACACAAAGCACCTACAAGAATTCCTGCATGTAGTAGGTACCCAACAAATGTCAGTCACTGCTATCATCATTATTCATTTTCATCGAACCTAAGACACCATCATTTTCAGATATATCACTTTATATACATCAAAGGAAAATACTGCCAATTATGACACACTATTGATTATAATATGGAACCTAACTGCAGATGTGAAAGTGTATTTTACAGTTGACTGAATACAAGAGGCTAGGGGCTGCTTCTAGATATTTAGTATGCACAAGTTACTCTGGCTTGTGAAGTTCCAGTTTTAGATCTAAAATATGGTTCTATCGGAAAAGAGTTTTTGCATCTTCAATTCAAGCTTGAATCAAAAAACTTCAGAACATACAATTTATTGTATTAAAGAATATTAAATCAAGCTGGGCATGTTGGTATATGCCTGTAATCTCAGCCCTTGGGAGGTTAGTAGATTAGAGAAAGTAGAATCTTGAGTTCAAAGCCAGCCTTGCAACACAGTGAGAATGTCTTGAAGAAAAAAAAAAAACAAAAACCACAGCCTCAAATTCTCAAGTGTTTTGTGCTTAATAATTTAATTCAAAGGATATTGATGGAGTTGTCAGAAATCTAGCCTAAAAGCTGGATACATGGAGTAAAACAAAAAGAAACCAGTGATGACTCTGCTAGTGACAGAGGAAGAAGAATAAAGCAGAAAGACAAACTCAGAAACTTAAGATGGGAAAAGAAGAGGAGAGAAAATTTAGATCATCCCCCAAGACTGCAAAGCTCACAGGATAGAGATGATCCTATGGAGAAAGGGAATGAGGGGGTAGTCACAGCACTGCATCTCCAAGGAAGAAAAGTGGTTAGCCAGCTGCAGAGAATAGGACAGAGGAGCAACTAAAAGTAGAGCTAACGAAAAATGATGTTATGTAAGCCTAAAAAGATGTGCTAGCAGTAACTGATAGTCAGAGCTAAGTAAATGGCTTATATCTGTTTAAAACCCCAAAGATACAGCTACAGTTGCATCATGATCAGTTAATACAATGAAGAAGCCAGTACAAACTGGTGGTGTCTGCCTCTTGTCCTCTAAAGGTAACAGAAATGAGCCAAAGTGACTTGAACGAATAAGCCAGGACTCTTCCAAGTGGTGAGTTTTGAGAGCTGGCCGCCAGGAGACAAACTCTAATAACCACTAAGAGAGGGATGAGCTGCCAAAAGGAAGGCAGTCACTCACATGTACCTGGGGGCTTTCTGTGAGCTTAAGGCACAGCAGAAATATTTGACTGTAGCCTTGTTGAGTCAGTTTAAGTCACTCAAGAAAACTTGTATTCAAATAATTGGAGTCAAACTCCTGCAGGCTAAAATGAGATTTAAGAACCAAAGCTTGCTTATGCCTATTTGGTTATTTAAGAGAGGAACTGAAGAGCTTATGGAGAAAAAGGAAATGTTTGAGTAAATGTTCATTTCTGTCACAATACATAAATCTGAACATGTTTATCTGGGCCACAGTACAGGCAAGAGCCAAGTAGTAAGGAAGTACATGCTGATCTCTACTCATCATGGCAGTTTACAAACAAGTACAAGAAACAAGAAACATGTTCCTGTACTTATTATTACATAAAGGACAAAGAAATCTTTTAGATTCCTACACTAAAGTTAACTTATAAAGCAGATTTTCATGAGTCACATTTACTCCAGGTAATTAGATATGCCAGTGAGCTGAGAGCATCAGCTAGAAACTGTGTGGCTGACATTAGACCCCCTTCAATTTCAAATGATTGTTAGTATCTTGAAGAAAAAAAATGTAAATTTACTTAAATGTGATATAGATAATGAAACTGCAAATAAGGAGACTGGCAGAAAAGAATAAAGTTATAAAACACAAGAATATTTATAATGAAAATTGGCACATTCTGGAGAAAACTCAGTTCTCAAATATAGTGAAACTATCACAAAATAATTGGAAACAAACATAATAAATCATAATTACTATAATCCTATCCACTAAATCTATCCAATCTGGGATAAAATTAATTAAAACAACCAAACTGTTCATTACAAGATGGCCACCTCAAATCTTGTTAGCAAGGTAACTACTACTTAATTAAATGCAATCTGAATCAAAATCCCACTGGGCTTCCTCTTCAGAGTTTGACCATATAATTCAAATGATTAGCTGGAAGTTTATTCAAGAAGAATTTGAAAACTTGTCATAGGAAGGCTAGAACTATCAGACATTAAACATTAGACAAGGATAAAAACCTGTTTCTGTAATCCTATCTATTCAGGAGGCTAAAATCTTAGGATCACAGTTTGAATCCGGCCTAGGAAGAAATGTCAGTAAGAGTCTTATCTCCAAGTAATCACCAAAAAACTGAAAGTAGAACTATGGCTCAAGTAGCAAAGTGCTAGCCTTGAGCAAAACACGGCTCAAGGACAGTGCTCAGGCCCTTAGTTCAAGCCCAGGACTGGCACATGCATACACACATGTGTGCGTACACACCACACCCTACTCTCACACCCACATCCCTGTACACAAAAGATCAAAGAAAATAAAATCCTCCAAACAGACATAAGATAAGCTGACATTTCAAATCACTGGGAAAGAAATATGTCATAAAAATTATTGCTAAGATGATTTTGTTGTAATACAAATCTTCAGATTTACCTTTATAAAATATACTGATACTCATATAATATGAAAGATCCCTTCTAAACTTCAAATCAAGATTAAAATCCATAAAGAAAATAAAGCACATGGATTTTACGATGTAAAATCTGAAACATCCATGTCCTAATACACTACAAATAAGACTAAAGGCTCAAAGAAACTGAAAATATTTGTAATAGAAAAGATTCATCTTCCATTATAAATCAGAAAGAAATACCAAACATCTAATAGAAAACAAAGCAAGACATTAAGGTATAAATTTTTTTAAAAAACTTTAAAGCTACTGCTCCACATCTCCACTTGCAGCTTTTTTTGATGCTTAATTGGTGATAAGAGTCTCACAGTCTTTCCTGCCTGGGCTGGCTTTGAAACGAGATCCTCAGATCTCAGCCTCCTGAGTAGCTAGGATTACGGGGTGAGTCATCAACACCTGGCATGTCTATCTTTGTACAACAAATATTTACTGAGCAACTACTATGTTCTAGGAACTGTTCTAGTATGGTAGCTGAAAATACAAGCAAATTAAATCATATACAAAACAGGGCAGAGGGAACGCTAGAGTAGGGGAAGGAGACTGTATAAATGAGAGGGGGCCACTGGAGCAAGTACTTGAATAAAGTGAAGATGTGAGCCATGCAAAACCTGGAGGAGCTGGTAGTGTAAAGAAACCAATGCTAGCCTGTACTTACTAAATCCAAGTCAGTAGAGAATAAGACAATGCAGAGCTAGGGAGGACTGAGGTCACACAAGGCCTGCAGACAGAGTGAGCCATCACTGTGAAGAGAAGCCCTGGGACAGCTCTGGGCAGAGGTGTCACGTGATCTAACACCCATTTTAAAAGAACCACTCCAAGCTAGGGGTATAGCTCTGTGGCAAAGCACTTGTCTACCACGCAAGTTGCTCTCCAGCAGTGAAAAGAACAAAGACTAACCACATAGGAGGTAGGGTATACCACTGTGTTACAAGAATGTAATCTGATCAGTTGGGAAGTTGTTCTAGTAGTGGGGCAAGAGATACCCATGCATGGATTAACGTAGTGACCACAAGGTTAGTGTGGATTATATTCACAAAGCAAAGTGTGTGGGGAAAGAAGGGAAGGATGAGTGGACACGATCAAGGTTTACTGTATTAACATATGCAAATATCATAGCAAATCCTACAAGAACTGTTCATAATAAAGATCAGTATTAATTTTCAAAGAAAGTAAAGCAGAATTGGCTGATAGATATCAGAAGAAAGGGAGTCAGGTTTTTGTCTTGAGCAAGCAAGAATCATTTAAGGGCTTATAACATTCCTCTTGGTAGGCCTCTTACACCTTTTACTGGGCATTTGAAAAATTAAAAAAAATCAAATTTATTAAGTTTATAAATGTGATTTAAAAACTTAAAGGTGCCAGGCGCCAGTGGCTCACGCCTGTAATCCTAGCTACTCAGGAGGCTGAGATCTAAGGATCATGGTTCAAAGCCAGCCTGGGCAGGAAACTCTGTGAGACTCTTATCTCCAATAAACCACTAGAAAACTGGAAGTGGTGCTGTAGCTCAAGCAGTAGAGCACTCACCTTGAGCTGAAGAGTACAGGGACAGCGCCCAAGCCCAGAGTTCAAGCCCCACGACCAACCAAAAAAAAAAAAAAAAACAAACTTAAAGGACTATAATTAACTAAATTTGCAAATGGACTATATTAAACATGAACAAGAACAAGAGGAAATAATTGTTCTTTATTTTTACTCAATTTACTAATATTGTTGTTCATCTTATAAAATAAACATGAAAGCTTCAGAAGAATTATGTTTTAAGATTACAGCTGTACTAAATAGGGTGCTTATTTTAAGTGTAATTACTATTAACTGTTACTGAATACAAAAGCCTCTAAGACACTAAAAGACTCAATTTAGCAAGCAGAGTATTTATATGATGGGAACATGTCTGTAATATATCAAGTGAGGAGAGGGGAAGCACCACAAAATCACGTTCATATTATGTCATATCCTGAGAGGATATGACTAAGAAAATAGAATCTGTTCTCACAGTGATTCCTCAAAGCACACGTGTAGTCCCTGCTACTCTGGAGGCTGAAGAATCTCTTCAAGACAGCAACAAAAGGAACAAAATGTTCCTTCTCTATACACAAGTAGACCCTCAGATCACCGATGTAGCA